CTGACGTCTATTTGTAAAATGTTATTATAGATAAAATATTCATAGGATCACAAAATATATCACGATATATATGTCAGTGTTCTATGTGCACAGGTGTGTGCATGTTTGTGCAGATATAAATAAATAAATACTAAAGATTTTGTATATGAAAACACCGCTAATTTATAGCTTTAAAAGGTCTTTATTTGAATGGGGTAACTATATAAACAAATATTTTCAAATTAAACAGACTGCTTTTAGCTCTAGTCAGTGGCAGGTGTCTGGAAAATCTCCTTTTCACATAAATATTATAGATACCTATGCTTTCCATATTTTAGTGCATCGTCGTCTGGTAAAGCGAATGGGAATAGCTTTCGTTTACATTAAATTAACGGTTTAGCAAGTTTCCACTGCATATAGGTAACATACTAGGAAAATAAATACATTTCTATACAAAACGATTAAGGCGTTTAAATAGCCCATCATGTCAATAGGCTGGGTTCGTGTAGATAACTCAACAAATTTCAGGCTTGCATTAAAACCAAAAGTTTATTCGGGAAGACACCAAGAATATTGAGCGGCGTCAAAGATGTTTGAAACTAACATGACAATCTTTATTCCTTAGGAGCCATGCAGATATCAAACGTTGTAACACAGTTTCACTCCCAGAAGAGTCACTATGAATACCTTTTTTTCACTTGGCCTATAAGAAACAATATCAGGTGATACAACAATCACATGTATAAGTTCGATTCAATTTTTACTTGTCTAAGCGATTAAGAAAGCTACGGAACGAAGCATACGCCCACGTAAGTCATCTGGGCAGTCTACAAGGGTTGTCGCATATCATTTCTTTTGTCGGTAAGAAGAACATTTACAAAATAATTTTAAGTAACAGCCCATTAAAGAATTAAGTAATCATGGGCGGGTCCAGCAATTTTTGCAGGAGGGGGGGGGGGGTGCCAGGCTCCTGTTAAGGAAATTAAATATTGACAGTTGACAACTCATGATGCCATCATCGTCTCTAAATATTACGTTGGCATACATACGCATTGAGCCTTTTAAAGAGAGAAATCCAACACCCCCGTTTGATGTCAGTTTTTATAAAGAAATTAATAGTATCACATTGTGATTCAATTTCATTGATGCAAAGCATTAATTGTGATATCACGCATATCATTATTTCGCGCTTTGAATGCCAACCCCATCCCACCATCTGATGATAAAGGACAAAGCATACGACCGTTACACTTCTCTCTTTAAGTGTTTTTTTTTACAAATTTGTATGTACATGTAACTGAGAAGGGTAATTATCATTAGGATTTGTTTGGCTTCTAGTTCTGCCCCATGCTAAAACTGTGGTCTCTAGAACATCCACAAGATTTATCAAGGAGATCAAGTGCCATATATTGTTGAAAATCAATAGGATTCTTATCCACATAAACTTAAACAGTGTACATAAATTTAAAGTTAATCGGGTGATAAGTTTGATCTCTAGAGAATCCAAAAGATACCACCTTCTAGACATGTTGCTTCGATATGGCGTTGTGTTAAGGCGGTAGAATGATATTGTTTAATTCAGCAGTGCTGTCGTTCCAGCTCTTGCTCGTATTTCGCTATAGTCTTGATATCTACTACTTCAGGTGTGATACTTGACGTTCAAGTCAGCACCGGAGTTATTATTGGTCCTCAGCTATTCGTTAACTCAGTAGATGATTCTCCTCGGTTTCCAATAAGCTCGAGAGGTTCGGAAGCTGTTTCTCCTCGTCAGCACCGGATATATTAATATTCCCAGTCTGGTACATATATAAATATCATTGTTACTACCCAACCTGGTATTTATGTTTCTCCTCGTCATCACTTCTTAGCACCAGTGCTATTTTTTGGCTGATATTCGAATCCTTATCGAGAGTTTTGTGAAAAATAAAAACACTGCTGAAATTATGGATATAATTGTTCTCTCGCGATACTGTACTAATTTGGTCGGTTTTTTTTCTTTCTTTTTACGTAGTCTACAATGGGGAAGCAGACGTTAAGTATTCGGTGGAATTTTCTGCAATGATGGACATCTCAAATTTATTAGCGTAAACTGTGGATTGAAGTCAGATCGATAGCAGAAATGCAAGATAAACCAACGAAATAACTTCGAACAGACCTCAACGATAAAACCAAATACTGTCGTATGATAAAGCAAAACCATAGGCGTACCCCCCCCCCTCCCCCACCACCCCGCGAAATAACTTCGAACAGACCTCAATAATAAAACCAAACACTGCGCTAATGACACAGCCCTTGTCGTATGATAAATCGAAACCATTTTATTTATTTTTTTTAAATAGATATATTCGGTGAACTGTCCATTTTCGGGCAATGTATTTCCGTTTTTCGGAATAATTGTATAATTACAAAATGAAATTGTTCTAGGTTTACGTTATGAATACTATGATACTTAAGTGGAGCTTTGTGGATAACTCCTTTTAGTTAATGATTGACTCATTCTGAAAATTCGGGTGACAAAGAAAATTTTCGAACAAACAGCCTCAGCCCCCTTAACTGAAATTGCCCCCTACGCCTAGGGTATCTTGCTTTATGGTATATATAAAGTACTTCATTCAGGGTGTATTATTGGGATCATGTCTATAGAATCATGATCATGTGTCACGTGTATCTGTTAGTCAAATATCGACATTTGCTGGCATCTGATCGGCCATTAATTGTTAGACCTAATTATTTTATAAATATGTCCATAATTATACAGGCAGTGTTATCATGAACCTGGCTATGCATTTTCCTTTCACTATATGGGTCAATTGTATAAGAATGTATAGCTTGGAGGTCCCACATAATCATATTCATATCAAGGCTAATCATCTCTCTGACCTTTCCATTGTTTTAATACTGAACCTAATAACACTTCGTGTAGTTAAAGGGTGGAGTCAAAATAATATACGGCAGTTAAGTTTTTATTTGCCAAATTGAATAGTGAGCTTTAAGACGCAAGGTGTCTAACGTATAATATTCTATCTAGTCCTACTATTATCCTTGTAATCTATACCCCAGATACAAAGGGGGGGGGGGGAGAGATTAAAATGTCATTTCAGGCATTTTATATCATTTAACATAATACATTTGTTATGGGCATCACATGTTAAATTGAATTTTTGTCGAGGTACGTCTTTTTACATGATAAATTTAATTTTGTATCAAGGTCTTGTTTTTACATCTTCAAATTGTCGTAAGAACATCAATATCCAGCCCCCTAAAACAACACTTTACCAGTGAAATAATACTAGTATAGACTATACATATAATATGCATAAATTAATTAAAGGTACATGTAGGGTATGGGTGTCGTTCACGGGGCAGGACATGCTAGCGTTTTCAGAACACTTGATACCATTGATATAAGAACTATCATAATCCACATTCATTGACGTACATATATTATTATGTTAAAATTATTTAGCAGAATAATCGTTTGAATTGCTTACAAATACTTTCATAACAGTCTGATATCCTGTGTTCGTGGGTTTCTTATCAATATTTTTTCTACTAGATGAATGCATTCATGTATCTGAAAAGGTTATAAAGGTATATATACTTCAGACGTTTTATAAATGATCTTATATAACGATTTTCTGATAAATTTGTAGAAACGGAAATCATAAGGAATCGTATAGACAACAAGCGCGTTTCGAATAAAAACGACTTTCTCAACAAGAACAATAAAACGATTCCCCAAAACTATCACAAAAGTCTCGTTGTCACTTTAGGAGAACAATTTTATGAATGGAAAAGAAAATTGACAGTACTTTTAAGTGATAATTTTATTAATAAATGTTTCTTAAAAGTGAAATCTATTTGTAAAATCTACTCACTTTCTTTTTTCTAGATCTACAATAATTAATCTAATATAATTATCATTGCTGTGATTTAAACCTTTGATTTCGGTATAAATAAAATATTGAATTTGATTGATTAGATGTGTTACTTCGTTTAGTAAAGAAGCATGCTATATTCCATTAATTTCGGTTTTGTAAAGAGAGGGTCGGCTTGTTCAAGCATTATACTTTCATTTTTGGCTAATTGTACCGGTTATGGAACACCTATCGGTTGTACCTCAAGACTGAAATATCTGATATTGACAAACAAAATGTTCAACGTAGACAGACTGGCATCCTAATTTAATATCCAATAAAATCGACAATTTCATTTGTACCCAATACAAAGAAGTTCCGCGTTGAGTACAATTCAAGTTCGGTTAACATATTTTGAATCGAACGTCCGCGTTGTGAGTTATCAGGTCACAATAATAGTGTACATGTATATATAACACCCAATACATGTTCTGTCTGCTTGTCGACGCCCTCACTGCAATGCACACGCATACTCATGGCGTATCTAAACTTTGGTATACAAACGTATTAAATATTCGTTACATAGCACAACAAAGACAGCTTTTGAATACTCGAATATATCTTTGGCTAGGTCTTTATGTTGATCACATTGTCAATATACCACTATTGTATTATATAAGAGTCATAGGCACACTACTCTATCAGCGAAATGTTACTCAGCTCGTAAAAAAAACCCACTAATGGTGTGATTTAAGTAAATCACTAATTACGGTATAATTACTTAAGGTGCTTTAATTATCACTTGACAATAGCCCAATACACACTATAAATGATATCTCAAATATATAAGCTATATCTGTTGGCTTGACATTATAGTTTATGAAGGTAACATGTATGAATAATGATGAAAAGAGCATTTAAATTTCTATTTAAAAAAAAACAAAACTGATCATTTTATTCTATCACCGATTGGAAATAGATAATAGATTTGTATTTAGTTGTAAGTTTCATGTACACGTGTAAAATGTGTCTAAAGTATTCGTACCGCTACAGATACGTTTTGCGTAATATGAAAGCAAAGCATTTGATTTATTACAGTAAATTAACACAAGTTTTCCCCCCACGTCGTTGATTATTATATCAGATTATGATATGTTTACTTACTTTCGATTCTGTGAATGCTATTAGGGCCAGAACACATAATAAAAGCACTGCACTAATGTTTCCAAGGTTTTTAGCCATTACCCAACACCTCTCTGGAAGACCCTATTTCTGATGGGGTCGGGTTATTCCGACCGTTTTTTTCATCTGTTTGTCATATAAAATTTAATATGGTCAAATTTATATCTGAAGTAACACTCGAATATCATCATATATCTCATACACATATAAATGTCACTTGTTATTTCCATTCCTAAATATTCCTCTTCAGCAAGCTCTTGCTAACAGACACAATACAGTTGTTACGTCCACGCCAAATAACTGCCATAAATCAGATATCGACATTTTCTTTCATAAACCATTAACTAAACATAAACATATATTTACACTACTATATAACATTATAAACCAAAACGACAATCAAACCGCTCCCTACTTCAACCAATGAAATGTTACTCGTTGGTCTATATAATATACATCATTGAAACGCGTGTAGTACAACACCACAGTTTAGTGTATATCGGTCTACGTGTGAACATTTGCAGACGATAAAAAATGCTTTAAAGAAGAATCTGTCAGCTGGCTCTATGAATGGCAAGTAGCTTGTTGGAGGTTCAGAAAGAATCTGGTCTTTCTATGTACAAATTATGAAACCATAGGCCATAAAATTGTACAATAGGGTGAAGGCTTATATGATGTAAATGTGTTGTTTGTACATACGCTAGGGCGTGACTGTTTATTGCAGTAGTTTATGGCTGTCACAATTGGTCGTTACTTTCGCGTCATTTTCATAAAATAAACAGTTTGACAGGGAGTTATGATAGATACGCCGTGTCTATAGGAAGTATGTAAATTTGAATAATCCAACATACCTGTCTTTATTCAAGTGGGGATCCAGGAATATTTAACCGGTTGTGGGGATAGGGTTCTGGGGTTATCAATGAACAAACCCAATGAGGACACATTTCCTGTACCCCGATCGGATTCCAGCGAGCGGAATATTATTTAGACACGACCCCATGCCACCCTTAGACCAAAAAAAACCAAAAAAAACCTTCACTGGCAAAGGCCACTTGCCCTTCTAATTCTTCTAATTGACAGAAGCCTATTCTGTATGCCATTATTCCAAACTAGTGTTTATTTGGAGTGGTCACATACTATGTTGTACTAAATTGAAATTCACTAAAAACCTGTATGTCCGTTTTTCCCTTGGACGTAAAACATACTTGTTTGGGGTGGTCACATAACAAACCATTATGTTGTACTAAATTGAAATCCACCAAAAACATGTATGTCCGTTTTTCCCTTGGACGTAAAACACATTTGTTATTGTACAACACGACCAACGTATAACATAAATGCTGGTTAGCTTTTTTACTTGAATAGTCTATATGTCAGATTTCATTATTACATAAGAAAAAAAAAATGCTTTATAGCATAGATTATTTCATTCTACATGTAGTTTCATGGCTACAACATAAGAGGCACGAAGAGTTTTACCATGGACCTTATAAGTTCATGGTTTTACAAATTACCCAGTGCATTTTGTTTAAATCATTGAACTCGCGCACGTGTTATTCTTCCGCTCCAGTTTGCTTCAAGTTTCGATCGAGTTTCAACCCACATCCTATTTCATCTTACAATGTAAATAAGCTACTGCTGATTCATTGAGACTTATATCGCATCGGAATTCTATTCACCAATAATAGAAATAGAAGCAAGTGTTGTTTTTATTGACTTAAAGTCAGGTTATATTCAATACTTCTCATTATTTTTTTAATATAATGTCTAATTTTGTAAGAGACAACAATAAAACCAAGCTTCATTTTCTATGAAAGCAAGGTGCTACATATTTTCTGGGACGTGGAGACATGTCTGTAGGGAGACAAATATTATAAGAGATAATGTATCCTTTTCCCGAAAGAAAAAAAGACGTAATTTGAAATCGTATACACTTTCAAACACAAACATCACGCAAAAGTATAAAATGCCATATCAGACATCACACAGTTGACAAAAAGTCATATATTGACAACCCGGTTAAACACGAAATCCTATCACGGTTAAACCACAGCACTACACTGCCAATACAAAACACAAAATTCGGAGATCATCAGGATTGCAGTTCAGTTAAACCTCGAGATAACAGTACAGCACTCACATATTCCTACATAAACAAAACAGCATGAACGATATGGAAAAAGATCCTCTAAAACCACATACATTCAGGCAGGATTAAAAAACCCCAGAAAACCAATAAAGTAATTGAATGTCATTAGATAAGAGAACACGAGAAAAATAGAAATAGTCCGTACATTCCCTTGTTTTTATTCATTCTATACCTTATAAAAACATGGTAATGCACGGACTTTTTCTGTTTTTCTTTCGAGTTCTCTTATCTAGTGACAGTCAATTCTTTTTATGAATTGTCAGATATCCCCTCACAGTTTCACACAACAACTTTTGGCCTTCGAAGGAATTATTAGTGAGCAGAAATTCTCCCATATTATATCTGTTATCACTCGTCACTTCAGTCAGTTATACAGAGGAATAACTCGTGTTTTCCTTTTGCGTTCGTCACTTCCGATTGTTGAAACCTTTATTACCCATCCATCGTAGCAATGATCTCTGTATTAAAATTATATTTGGAACGTGTTAAACCAGTTCTATCACATATGTGATAATGACTGACATAAATATTGTCCTTTAAGTGTACACTATGCCAAGCACAGGACTAACCTTCTTAACCAAGAAGAGCAACTCTAAATTATTTCATTAACATCAACGATAATGTCGACCACTGGACTCACCACCGCCCGAATTGTTTCAAGCCTGTTTCTCACTTGTTAAGGGTAGCACCTACTGGACTCAAAAAGAGAGCATGCCTAGTTGTTCGGATGTGACGATAAACCAAATACTTGGCAATTGGAATTCGACGAAGCGTAGGCGGAAACGCCACTGCCCAAGTTAAGCCCTCATCTTGCACTCTTGTACAGAAAATAGCTATAAACTGACAGATGAATTGGCGTGAACCCAAATCAACCCTTCCATTCCAACACTGTAATTTTTTACAGTGCATTCAATAAAGTAATACGATCGATATAACAACAAACCAAACATGTAACAATTATTATCCAATTTCGTACTTAGGAGCACCTTTAACCTTTTCTTGCAGTTTAGTTTGTTTGTTTGTTAATTTGCGGTGGGGCCGTATAAAACAGAACTCTGTTTTAAATAAAACATGTTTAAACATATGATCCTATTCCCATAAATAAATATTAAAGTTCACATGACGATTAAAGGGCGTATGGCTCTAGTCGTTGGAACCTTAAAATAGACAAAAATCGGTCTACAAGCACATAATTACTAATGTATGTAAAGTGATTTATATTCAATTTTTAAATGAAATACTAATTGAACGACAGTCGTTTACGCCTGCTTAGTCCATTCTAAACAATTTTTATTATTAGTTTGTTGTTTGTGAATTTGCCATTACTAATTACTTTCGCATCGTCTTGTAGGATACATTTTCTTTATTCACAAACGGCACCCAACACCATAGAATACACGACTCTTGTATTGATTATAAAATATCCATTGTGTCTTAAATTTTGGATATTAGGATCCCATATTTTCACGGCAAGATAACAACATATTGTTGTTCGGATGGTATGAACAAATAAAGGTCCCGTGCAGACGACATTGGTGAGCACGTGAAAGAACATATGTCGACTTAGTCATATTATCAGAAATTGGGAAATGTGTTAGCTTTATTTAACGTCCGCTTCCACCGAAGTGATATCATAGACAAAAAATGGGGAATTAACACACCGTCATTACTCTATCACACGGATCAAATGTGATCTGGAATGTAAAGACTACAGCAACTTCCGAGGCGAAACTCTAAAAGTGGACAACACGACAGAAAGCCAAAATGATAGGTCGCTAATGACAACCTGTGTTAATTTCCTAATTTTCGTGTTGGATTTTTGCTTCGTATATGGGTGTTGACGCTTTCTTACTGACATGAATAAATACATAAATATGATAAGTCGACATCACGCTACACAAGCCAAAATGCAACTCAAAAGGTAGAAGTCACGACAAAACGAGGAGCACTGTTTATTTCTTAAATTCCAATTTTCGAGTCAATTTTTGCTTGGTGTGCGTACTGTCGCTTTACATTTTGTTGTAACTTCTACCTTTCGACTTTTGCGTTCTGAAGGGCCGAAAAATAGAAATTACGAACGCCACTGTAGAGCGGGAGCCCAGGGGGTCAACCTAGCTGAAAATTGTACCAATTTTCTCCTATATGGTATCAGTGTATGCATATCTGGTATCATGAGAATGTAACTCTGCTGAGTATCGTGTGGTGGGTGTGGTATTAAAAGCCCAAAATCCCATGCCCACCAACTAGGCTAGATTAGCTCAAAAGTGTACCACATGAAAATCGTACAGCAGTGTACCGTACATCTTCAGGTATTACAAAAACACCCTGACAGACATTTCTAGTGGTGGGGTACCCCTGGCAGAGCTATGTAATTGCCAGACAATTGTAGCGGTGGAATATTCCTGACAAAAGTTATCTAATTTCCAGACCACAGTTAGGCTAGATTAGCTGAAATCTGTACCACCTAATACTGCGTTGAAATTGTTCAGTACAACCACAGAAATCATGAATAACCACTGCCAGACAGTTTGTGCGGTGGGTTACCCCTACGGACACGCCCTAAATGCCACGGCCCCCACTGGCCAAAAAATATAAAAATTGTGCCAGGATGCGTAGAATACTAATACCAAGCACGTGTGAAAGAGGCGATAAAATGCGGTTGCAGGAACAATTTTATTTTCAAAAACACATTTTTAGCCCCATAAAAGATTTATTGCCTAAAAATCAATTTCTTGCAACCGCAGTTTATCGCCACTTCCATATGTGCTTGGTATCAGTATTCTACGCATCCTGGCAAAGAATTTAATTTTTTAGAACACGGGAACAGAGCCCACTAATCTATCCTAGTTGTGGGCGTGGCATTTTGGGGCATGTCTGTTAGGGGTAACGCACCGCACAAACCGTCTGGCAACGGTCATTCATGATTCCCGCAGAGGTACTGAACAACTTCAAAGCTGATTTAGGTGGTACAGATTTCAGGTAACCTAGCCTAGCTGTGGTCTGGAAATTAGATAACTTTAGTCAGGGATACTCCCCCCACTACAAATGTCTGGCAATTACATAGTTCTGTCAGGGGTATCCGCCCCCCCCCCAACTAGAAATGTCTGTCAGAGTGTTTTTGTAATACCTAAAGATTTACGGTACACTGCAGTACAATTTTCATGTGGAATACTTTTGGGTTAATCTAGCCTAGTTGTGGGGCATGGCATTTTGGGCGTGCAATACCCCACCCACCACCAGCTACCCGGCAGACTTACATTCTGATTATACCAGATATGCATGCATTGATACCATATAGGAAACAATTTGTACACTTTTCAGCTAGGTTGACCCCCCTGGATCCCTGGTCTACTAGGGCCTGTTAGAAAAGTTTTGCTGCGACCGGTCCACCACGCC